AAAAACTAGTTCCTCATCTTGTAGAAAAAATAATAAGCCACAGCTGTACATGAAATTAAAAAATAAAGCACATAGGGATCTGCATAGGTCCCCTCCCATTTCAGTCTGTTTTCACTTTTAAAAACCTGGTGTGGCTTTGTTAACTATTAATTTGTTTTACATAGTGCAGTCTAAGCACAGTTACACCCCCTCTAAATCTATTACAGTCAATGAACTGGGAAGGGTGTCACTACATTTAGAATTGCACTGTAAATAATTCAGTCCTGTTTTTGCTTACATTAGTTTCAATGTGAAATTCATTTCCCACCTGCATCTCATTTTCTTCCATCCAATTAGGATAAACTTTTCATACACTGTAAACCCCTAACACAAGAGATCCTACTGGCCACATTTCAGAAATGAATGTATTCCTATTTGTGGGTCTTCTGCTGGTATAAATACGTCAAAGAAAGATGTTATGCCAACCTATTCCATTGCACTGCATTACACAATCTGGAGGCTAAACGGCATGTTAAAAAGGACACATACACACAGCCAATTTATTGCAAAAGGTATAATTTTAATCTCTTTCTGATTGCATTTTCAACACTGAAACTTCTGATACCAATTTGATGGATCTGGTGCAAACAGTCTACAGTCTGTTTCAGGTGGGTTCCCATATTAATCTGTAGTAGTGGAACAAAGTTCAAGTCCAGTAGCACCTTAAAGGCCAACAAAATTTCTCCAGGGTCTAAGCTTTCATGAGCCAAAGCTGTACCTGATAAAGGGAGCTCTGACTCAAGAAAGCTTCTACCCTGGAAAAAAAATGCTCTGACTCACGAAAGCTTCTACCCTGGGAAAAATTTGTTGATCTTTAAAGTGCTACTGGATTCAAGTGTTACTTTAGAGGCTAGTTTGCACATGTTAAAGAATGATGTAGCAGTGAGGCAGAGGCAATGAGGTAGCAGAATGCACTGCACCACTTGAGACAGCAGCTGGTGGATGCCAGGTTTTAATGTTCCCGCACATAAGCACTCCATGCAAATGGCTCAAAGGGGGTGGTGGTAAGGTTCTGTGTCCCCTCCCTCCCCTTTGTTTGCTGTGCCAGTTTTCAGTTACAGGGAGTTTTAAAAAATAAAGTATAGCAGTGCATTCCAAAAGGTGATCCTCCCTGATCCTCTACCTGCAGTCTCACGTGGCACAGACATTAAGTGAGTGAGAGGATATCACTGAACTGCTTTTTACGTACCCAAAAGTAGAGCATTCCCCCTTGCCTCACAGCCCTTCTGCAGTACATACATCCCTGCAGGAGGAAGAGGATATCCGATAGGAATCCAGCCCACACAGTTCAGCATTCAGGCATTGTAGAAAATGGAAGCCAGTCAGAAGGAAGGGATGTGCCAGAACTTGTAACTTGTCCCTAAAACTGGTCTCCATTCTAGAAGATTGTAAAGTAACCAATGTTACCCTGGTTTTTAAAAAGAACTCCAGATCTGGGAAATTTCAGGCCAGTTAGCACAGAATCAGTTCCATGTAAATTAGCAGAAGCTATTATTTTTAAAGACAGAATTATTAAGCACATAGAGGTTCATAAAATTATGCAGGGGATGGAGAAAGTGTACTCTCCCATGATACTTAACCAAATGAAGTCCACATTCAGAGACACTAAACCTATGACACCCATGCTAGGAAGCAACATCAAAGGAAGGCCTTGACCTCTGTGTCCTGTTTGCTGGTCCTCCAGGGCAACTGGTCTGCCACTGTGTGAGACAGAATACTGGACTAGATGGAAAACTGGTCAGAACAATATAGTCACCGGCAGGGGATTGGGGTCGGGGTTTAGGATAGCCAGATCCAGGTTGGGAAAGTCTTGGAGATTTAGGGATGGAGCCTGGGAAGGACAGGGACATTACTGGGGTACAATACCAAAGAATCCACCCTCCAAAACATCAATTGTCTCCAGTGGAACGGATCTCTGTAATCTGGAGACGAGCTGTAATTCCAGCGGATCCCCAGGTCCCACCTGGAGGCTGGCACCCCTAGAACCAACAGGGCTGCTCTTTATGGTTCCAATATGTAAAACTGAGTTTGAATATTGCTGCTGCTCTTCAAGATTTCCTAATGCTTCCTAATATTATGTTTTCAGTACAAGCCTCACTCTAAAGTAGAAAAAAGGCAGGAATCTTATAGCATTTTAAAGACATAATTATTAGTCTTTGAAGAGGTCATAAAATCCCTGTTCATTTTTGCTGCCAAAGACTAACACAACTACCATGCTGGAATTAGCCCAAAATGTAGGCAATGTTTGGGCACTGTAGTTCTCTTCACAGCAAAGCAGCTGGGTACTCATGCCATAGGAGCCCAAGTGAACCTGTCTCACTTTCTCATCCATCTTCTGCAGTGCCTGAAAGAAAGGGATCCATATGCAGACATTTCCACACCTGGCCCCACCCAACCAGCTGCCTGTGTGCAGGTATCTGGCCACCAGTTGATAACCTCTTGTGGACCAGCAGGAGACCATCACCCAGATTGGATAGCACTGCTGTTTCGTACCGCTAGCAGTGTTAGTCTCTTGTAGCAAAACAAAAAAAGAAGCCCTGCTCGGCTGGTGTATACAGAACAGACACAAAACAGACAGGCACAGACAAATATTAACCATTAGAAATCTTAATTGCTGACTGAACTGAACTGAAACAGGCAATAAATTAAAACAGGCTCTAATGAGAGGGGAGCGCCTTGCTTCTAAAATAGAAGACTTATACTGGTCTTATCTCCCACCCAAAAGAATGAGTACCTTTTACTGGCCATTCCTCTGATCTAAGTCGCTGGACACCTCATGGGTTCTCCTCTGCTGGTGCTCAGGCAAGATCGCTTTTTTGGATTCCCTGAGATGTTAAGGGAGAGTTGAAATCAGCTGTGGTGCACCAGTCTCACCATCCCTGCTTTTCCAGTCCAGCAATAACACTCCTTGCCATCAGCAGGGGAAATCCACCATCTAGAGGTCGCCAGATTCTGATACACAAATCTGCCTGCGTGCTCCCGTTGCCGAATTAGAAACGCACAGTCGGAGTCCAACGAGTTAGATGAATATCTGTTTAATGCATTGAAATAGGGAGTACAGGGCTGAATGCCTTAGCACCTCAGCAATTCCAAAGCTGTATTCTGCCATAACCAGGAAGGGCAGAAGGTCTTATACCACACAGATGACATCATATATAGTTTACACATTAAAGAACCTCTAATCGGTACCAAGCAGTTAACATCATACAAGCATCATCTGACTTTAAACCTTACTATTGGTCTCTCCTTATACTGGTCGTGTATGTCAGGGATTGTTTTTGCTTATCTGCTCTTCAGAGTAATGGGAACATTAGGGAACACTGAGATCCTTTCTGACCTTAGTGAAGCTAGTCTCTCTTTTCCTTAGTTTTGTGGAGCTGGGTGATAAGGGTTGTGATTCACATTTAACTTCACTCTTGACGTCCTTGAGGCTTCTTGAATACACATTCCATTCTTATTGCATCCTAATTCTATCCCCAGAGGCCTCTTAATAATGCTTTCCCTTAATATATAGCTTCATATACAAACAGTGCAGTTATAAAATATATATTCTGCTATCAATTTCTCTAATCGGAAAATTCTAGGTTACATACCAAGATCTGGATCTATTATAATTAGACTTTTGAAGGCACAGTGACAGCTGTCAGCATATAAACATGTCAGAGGAAATGTCAGAACCCACATTCAGAAATCACATTCATTTTTCCCTTGTCCTACAAGACCAACAATATTTATTCCAGCATGAGCTTTCCCAAGTCACCGCTCACTTCCTCAGATGCAATGGAAAGAAAGAAAAACATTTTGTTTTCAAGGAAAATTATTTTCTTTCCACTGCATCTTGGGAAGTGAGGTATGAAACAGGGAAGTTGAAATAAATGTTGCTAGTCTTTAAGGCGCTGGACTTCTGTTTAGCATTGCCACTGGCGAGGCGACACATACTAAATAATCCACTTTCAGTGCACTTTCCAACTGGATTTTGCCAGTTCACACAGTAAAATCCAGTTGGAAAGTGCACTGAAAGTGGATTGAGGGTGCACTATTTAGTGTGTGTGACCACATCCTGAGTGCAGCATGTGACTTCCCAATCCAGCCCCAAAACAGGGGACCACTATTTAGTGTGTGTGACCACAGCCTGAGTGCAGCATGCGGCTTCCCAATCCAGGGGCCATCCAGAGCCCAGATTCGCCATTCTGCCACGCAGGACGTGTTCCCAAAGGCTATCTGCGCAAGGAAACCGTCTTCTACACGTGAATCCCCCCCCCCGCGCTTCCAGGAGGCAGTCAGGACTGACACATGGTGCTGAATACTAGCAAAGCGCTTTCATTTGAACGGTACCGCGCCTGTGAAATATTAGCACGCCAGCACAATATCTATCCGTAATTGCGCAGAGAACTTCTTTCCCTCTCCAAAGTTACCATGAAATCAGGATCCGAGATGCTGGTTGAGGCGAGCTCACCCATGTGCCTTTGCACTGGGCTCTCCCTTAGGCGGCCGGCTTCCGGTGCAAAGCAGCCGTGCAAAAAGAGTTTCACCTTATCCACTGTCGCACTGCAAATCCAGAGGAGAGACACGACGCCAACAGCGCGCTCACGTGCAAGTCTCCGGGACGGCAACTTTTTGCAGAAGAGCGCAGCAAGCGCTGGCGCCCCGGCCCGACAAGGACGAGAAAGGGGTCGTGAACCCAATGCAGGAAGCCAGCGGCCCCGGGACCTTAGCACTTTTCCTTGGGCGTCCCCTGCTTGCGCACCGGCAAAGGAAGACAGAGCGGGCTCCTCCCGGCAACGACTGGCGCGTCCTCACGTGGCGGGGCAGTGCTGGTTGGGGTAGGGGAGCGTGTTCTGCAACTGCCGGCACGGCACCGTTAGCGGCCAGGGCGAGGGTATCTTGCTGGGGCTGCTTCTCCCGGAAGGGGGAAAGGGAGGCGGCGTCGCTGCTGCCCACCCACCGGCATGGGCGGGGAGGGAGGGCCGCCTGTTAAAAGTGGATTTCCCCGAGCTGTTGCCCAGAGTCAGGCCGGTAGGGGAGATGGCCTTGATGAAGCGGCGTGGCTGCTACTGCCTAGCGGCGGTGCTGATCCTGACCGCCGCGGTGGTGGTGCTGGTGGTCCTCCTGACCCTGCCGAGGTGTGCCCCGCCGTGGTATTCGCGCGCAGCCGTGGCCGCCGACACCAAGACTTGCTCGGACGTCGGAAGGTAGGGATCCCGGCTCTGGGGTGGGGTGGCCTTCTTCACCCACCGGCGGGGGAGAGGTGCTGCGGGGTCTCCCGGCTGGCGCTTCTAACAGGCATGTTCGACGTCAAGAAAGTTGCAAGGGTTCCTTTCGCGCAGCGCGCTTTAAAAGCCACCCTGTTGCATGCTGCCCCACTGAAGCCCTGTTCACACGTTAACAGTGGACGCGGGTACAGTCTGCATGAAAAAAAACAACCTGTAAGAAAAAGCCCACACGAGCTTGCTTTACAAATGAGTCTAGGGACCAGTACCTGAATAAATGTGGGCTTTCAGTCACATGTGCCGAATGTAACATGAGAATTACTTAATTAATCTATAAAATAAAATCCAGTGTCTGATGTACATAGATTGTGCTTGTGTTCACTGTAACTTTTGAAGAGGTCTCTTATGTTTTCAGGAGAGCTTCTGTCCTATCTGTGCCCAATGTAATTCATACAAATAACCTAACCAAGGTATTTTTTCTCATAAACACGTAATACTCTAGTTCAGTATAGCTGTTTTTCACCACCACAACCCCAGTTCATACTTGACAGCCATCCTTTATTCATTTGCCTTAAAATCGAGTTGTCTTTGGTGAAGGTCTTTGCTTGGATCTTCTGATGCACAGGGATTTGGGGCATGTTTAAATTTGGCTCTTGGACAAACTGTAAAGGTTCCCTTGCTCGAAAGCCAGTCGAATCCAACTCTAGGGTTGCGGTGCTCATCTCCGTTTCAAAGCCGAAGAGCCAGCGCTGTCCGAAGACGTTTCCGTGGTCATGTGGCCGGCATGACTAAACACCAAGGCGCACGAAACGCTGTTACCTTCCCACCAAAGTGGTACCTATTTATCTACTTGCAATTTCTTGCTTTCGAACTGCTAGGTTGGCAGGAGCTGGAACTAGAGACAGGAGCTCACCCCATCTTGCGGCACCCGGGTCTTGAACTGCTGAACTACTGACCTTCCACAGCCTGCAGTTCAGCGTCTTAACCACTTGAGCCACCGCAGCTCCCTGGACAAACTGTAGGGCTGCCTTTATTTATTTTATTGAGATATTTATACCAAGCTTTTCTCCCCACTGGAGACCTGAAGCAGCTTCCGGCATTGTCCTCCCCCTTCTCCATTTTATACTTACAACAACCCTGTGAGGTTGGTTAGCCTGGGCGATAGCAACCTACCCAAGGTGACCCAGTAAGCTTCCATGGCAGAGAGGAGAGTTCAGCTTGGGTCTCCTGGAACCAAGCTGAGAAGCTTGTAAGCCCTGCGCCTCAGGTGGAGCTACTTGCCCTGGGGACATTTTTCACATGACTCGTGGAGAGCAAGGAGCATATGAATTCTGTGCCTTCAGAAGACTGCCAATTTTAAAAAGTGTTCATAAAAGACTTCTGATAATGTCCATGGGGTTTTCTTGGCAAAGATACTGGAGTGGGTTGCCATTTCCTTCTCCAGTGGATCACACTTGGTCTGAGTTCTCTGCTGTGGCCTGTCCGTCCTGGGTGGCCCTCCACGGCATAGCCCACAGCCTCATCGAACCACGCAAGCCCCTTCGCCTAGTCAAGGCAGTGATCCATGAGGGAGACGGCGGAAGACAGGAAGATCCATGAGGGAGGATGGCGGAAGACAGGAAGGCCTGGCATGATCTGGTCCATGGGGTCCCAAAGAGTCGGACTCGACTGTGCCACTGAACAACAACAACATAAAAGACTTCAGCTGCTCATAAACATGAATGGGGAAATGCTCCTAGGAAAAGGCTGAAATGTGTTTCTACATCAAATGTGCCAGTTTGGCATGACAGTTTTAATAAGATCCCTCAAAGGACACAATAAAGCCCTGTAACTTGGCAAGGCATGGAGCCAGAGAGAAGTGGAAGGCTCTGGAAGCATCTTACAGAGCCAGATCTCCCACAGAGAAAGTAGCTTAAATTGTGTTTAGCTAGCAAAACACCAGGGAGGCTGTGTGTTTGAGATAGGAAGGAGGAGAGGGAGGGGGAGAGAAGGTGTGGCCCTGCAGGGAGGAGACAAGTAGGACTGGTAGATAACCAGTGAGGACTGTGAATAAAGATAAGCCCAAGATCCAGGCAGTTTAATATCTCCTGTCTTCTATTGGATTATTTAGTTAGCAGAGTGCTCAAGGCACATAAACGCAGCAAAGCCCATCTGGAGTGTGTGTGCTGTCTAGAAACAACGTTACACACAGAGCCTTTTATCTTTACAAACTAATATGAGTCCTTTAATTTAAGGAACTCCATTCTAGACAGGATAGGGATAGGTTTCTAATCTAGTCTAACTAGCTAGGATGGTTAGAGATACAGGAATCATGTCCTCCTCTTGTGGTGCGAAGATGGAGAAGTCTGGCAAAGTGTGGAGAGAAGGCCGGAAGGAAAAGTTTTCCCTAAGAGTAGCAATCTACACATCACAAGGGATAGTATCAGAGGAGAGAAAGAAAGGATGTCCAGTGTCCTGACCTCCCTATCTCTTTGACTGTCTTGTAGTCCCCCTCTGAAGGCTGAGGCTAAGAGACGTGCAAAGTCCTTCACTTCCAACATCTTCAGTCTGTCAAAAAAAGATCTGCAGGTTGAAAACTGGGCTGGGAAAATTGGTAGTAATGCCTGCTAGGCATACAAGAGGCTTTAAAAGAGAATAAGAGATGTCTGTTGAATACTATTAATCATGATAGTGAAGTGGAACCCACATATTCAGACGCAGTGTACATGGTATCCCAGATGCTGGAGACAGACAGTGCAGGAGGAAGCTGCCTTTGTTCTCTGCTTATAGCTGCAGTTGGAAACAGGATGCAGGTTCAGTAGACTCTTGGTCTAATCCAGTGAGGCTCTTCTTAAGTTCTTGTCTTCATACAGAAGATCCTCAAGGGCCAATTTGTTTATTATGGAGGACGCACTTTAGGCCCAGGGTCCTCATATTGTTTTACAGTCACACATGAATTGCGGGTTCTCCTCATGCGTGGTGCACAGTTCAGATCACAGCTGTTGCTGAAGGAGCTTCAGACTTCCCCTTATGCCCTTTTCATGACCTTCAGCAGTCTTGGGGAGTCCTATTTGTCTTGTTGAAGAAACCCACATGTGTACTTGTGGGTTCCCCAACATACCAAATAGCAACCCACCCCAATGGAGTAGGTCATGAAAATGAGGTGGGGAGAGGCAGAAGTCCCTTCTCCACAGTCATCGCATCTGTGATCCAAATGGTGCACCAGGTGTGCAGGAATTTGAGCCCTGCTTATTCTGTGGGTGGCCTTCCCAGATACCTGCTGCTTCTTCCCATTGGAACAGCTTGTTCTGGTTCTAGAGGGGCATCAATATTTGTATTTTATAGTAAAAACAGCAGAGTCCTGGGGCACCTTTCAACAAATGTATTGTCTGTGTCTTGTTCACATGTTTTGGTAGGACTGGGGACACAATCATGGGCAGGAGGCATATATAAGGGCATAACCCTGCCTGACTTGCTTTGAATTCAGTGCGTTCTGCACAGCAACCTCCCCCCCCCAGCTGTATCACATAGTTATTTCTCCAGTCATACAGTGAATGTAATGCCCCTGTGGGTAGTTCTCTTGGACTTCATGGAACTGTTATGGGATTTTCCAGCAAGGCTGGGAAAACAAAACTCTGAATCATAGAGTTGGAAGGGATCTCCAGGGTCATCTAGTCCAGCCCCCTGCATAATGCAGGCAATAAGTGCATGCTGCCTTCTTTTACTACTAAAATGATAAATTGGATTTTCCCCACTCTCCTTCTATTACATTTGTCTGGAATGATAATAGTGAGCAGCACCCAAGTTGGATGTCATTGATCACTTGTGGCCTGTAGGCAAGTAGAGACTTTAGCTCAAGACAGACAGGGGTTTTTGAGAGAGCTGAAAGTGGTTAGAGAGCAATGTCGCTCCTCACAGTGCATGCATATTACTTTTGACCCATCAAAATGGGCACTGCAGGTTTTTGAAACAATACAAAATCTCATTTGATGGAGACAAAAATGAGCATCAGGTCATCTTTCAAGATGCCTTAATTTCTGAAGGAACCGTCATCTCTCTCCAGCTTTTCTTTACTGTTTTGGGTGGCCACTTGCCAGGTACATTCCTTTAAATGGTCTAGAGCCCCAGTCAGAGCTGCAGCGGTGGCTGTCTCCTGTCCTGTTACACCACAGTGTCCCTTCCCTTCCCACCTGGTGTAACCAGCAGGCTGGGGAGAAGATTGAATTTTCGGTGGAGGAGCAACGCAGTAAGTGCATCAGCTGTTACCTTGAGTGGAGTCTCTGATCATGGCAAGGGTGAAATGACCAGTGTATTAATAGCTCTATTGGTTTCCATGCCCATACCTGGGTGGCCCAGGCTAGAATGATCTTGTCAGATCTCAGAAGCTAAGGAGGGTCGAACATGGTTAGTATTTGATATGGGAGATCACCAAGGAAGTCCAGAGTTTCTACACAGAGGTAGGCAACAGCAAACCACCTATGAATGCCTCTTGCCTTGGAAGCCCCATGGGGTCACCATAAATCAGCTGGGACTTGACGGCACTTTTCACCACCACCATTGGTTTCCATGCTGTGCAGAACTCTGGATTTAAAGAATCCTGAGCTTGGAACTGGAAGGGGCTTCAAGGAACAGGGCCCTTTCCTTGCACTCTCTCAGACAAGCACGCCTATGTCTGCTAGGTCTATCCTTTCCCCCAAAAAAACTTCCAAGGAAGCTGTTTCTGCCAGTGGATTATCAGGCAAATAGTTCCGCCTATCAGCTGATCATGTGTTTAAAATTCCTTCCTCTAATCTAAGCCTATTTTTGAGGATAGCACAGCCATGCACTTTATCTCTGTGTAGAAAGATATAGTTCCGTACCTGCCTTGTCTTGCAAATATTTGCAGATAATTTGGCTTCCCTCTGATATTACCAGTGTTTAGAGTCCTTTCATCATCCTTCTTGGCTTGCTTTGTGTTGTCCTCCTCTGAATTCTGCCTAAACAGATTAGGAATGGATTTGTTC